CCCTGCAGCGGGCACTGAATTACTGAACGTTTCGGGCAGCGGTGTGAGTTTTTTTGGGGGAGGGCTGGTACCCGATATCCTCCCTCTGGAAGAAAAAAAAAAAACCACCCTATGTTTTTGAGCCTCCCACCCCAAACCCCGTTTCTCCTCTTTCCGTTGCACGTAACGGTCTTCGGCAAACACCGAGTTCCCGTTTAGGCTTTAAATAAAACTTCGCGCTGCTGCGTTGCTCTCAGCGCACCTGAAAGATTGAATTAATCGCCAAACGTCCCCCAGTCCCCCCCCCCCTTTTTTTTTTTTCTACTCGCGAAGAATTTATTTAACAGGACTCCACACGGATTTTCTTCCTGCAAAGCGTTTTTGTTTCAAGAGCAAAACAACTCAGCTTTGTTTACCACTTACTTTATACTTGAAATATTGCTAGCTGGGTTATTTTAATTGTAATCGGGGGCGGGGAGGGTTAGTTCTGGCTGCTGGTGTCCGTTGTGCGCACGTGGAGTTTGGGGGTGCCTGGAAACCTGGATGTGGTGCGCTGGGGTGGAAATGCGGCTCTTGGCAGGTTCCTTGTGCCAGAGGAATAAAGCGAGGGACGTGCCGCGCTGTGGCAATCGCAAACTTGGCATTCGAAGGCAGCAGGAAGCCTGTTACGGTCTGTTCTGTACCTTTCTTTTTTCTTTTCTTAACGCCTCCTTCCTTTATTTCTTTCGTTGCTGGCTGCGGCCGGTGGTTGATGGTGATACTAGAGGAGAAAGTTGCCCTCCGAAGAGGGTTCCTAAAAGGTCAAAATAGGTGTCCTGCTGCTACCCTTGGAGCTCGGAAGGGGACGTTTCCCCAAGACGGCTGCGCGGACTGATGAGATCGGCAGTTTTCCCCAGAGGAAGCCCGTCGTGTTTGATGCTCAAGCTTTGTAACTGCTTACAGTTTGGGAGCTTCTTGTGCCTTAACAGCCATCTGGATATTTTACAACAAAAGCAAGGGTAAACACTGGCCCAGCAGCGTAAAATACATGAATCATCCAGCGCCACAATGGCACCGGCTGCAGGGGTAAGCTAACCTCTGCTCCACCTGCAGAGGAGATAGGCTCGTTCCTACGTGCATTACTGCTTTGTGTGTTTTATTCACGTCTCTGCTGCTCTCCTGCCACGGTATGGAAGGAAAAAATACTTGTCTTAGGGCTTCTTCCTCATTTGACAAATGCTTGTTGCAAACCGGGTCAGCTGCTTGGAGGGAGCAAGTGGATGACAAACCCAACTCGAGGCATACAGCGAGCCGGTGGTTTTGCAAAGGAAACTGCTTGATTTTCTCTTCCTGGGTGATGACGTTGGCGTTGCAGCCTCTGGAGCAGCACGTGCAACTGCCAAGTCCCGCAGCTGCGGGAAGCACTGTGCTCGGTCCTCATCGAAATGGCTGAAGGCTTCGGCTCCACGTGATAGCTCTTGTTTCCAGGAATTAAGTCTCCTAAGGCTTCGGTTGCACCGTCTCCTGCTGCGTTTAGTTAAAACGTCTCGCGGTGCTTTGTCTTCGAAAGAAGTTCTTGGCTGTGCCGCCCTGAAATGCTTCAACCAGCGCTGCAGAGATGGCAGGAGGCTGGTAGTAGAGATGTTTGGATTTTGCAGGGACTAGCTGGCCTGTCAGGAGAGATGCTAGCGAGGATGAGTGATTTCTGGTCAGAATAAATCGGCTTTGCACTTTCTCGCTTGCACCTCTCTAGTGCTTTGGGCGGCGCGTTTGCCCTCTGCTTGAAGTTGAGGGCAAACACGCCTTGTGCTTCTCGCAGCCCAAGATTGCCGGAGACGGGAAAGGGAGCACAACATCCTCGCGAGCCTCCCCTGCTGCAGACGGGGATCCGGAGCCCTTGGAGCGTGTGGGAGGCAGCTGAGCTTGGGGAGCTGCCGTCCTTGATCCCTGCCTTATCCAGCTGGTAGAAATGTTTTGTGCTGCTGGCCCTTCCGGCTGCTTCGTTTGCTGAGAAGGATAAAGATAACGCAGAACGCGTGTCGGAGGGGGTGCATAACCCTGAGACGCGAGCATCCCCCCCTTTTTCTTGTATCCTCTGGCTTGCTGTTACTTAAAAAAGCAGCCCACCCCCATCAAAAATGAGTGTCTCTTCGTTAACGCTGTGGAAAAGACTTAAGGAAGTTTAGCCTTCCTGAAAGAGAAGGGAGATGACTCTTAGCTCTGTGTTTCCAAGGTCTCTGAGGTTTAGGTAATGCCTTGTGCGACTCTTCCTGTGCAGTTTCATCTCTGTCTCTGGATTTATCCCCCTCAGGCTTCACTGGAACCAGACTAATCCTAAGCCCAGATGCTCCTGGGGACCGCTGCATGACGTGCGCAGGAGTAGCATATCCTTGAGCAAAAGGGAGAAGGAACTGAGAAATTGGACAGACCTGCCCAAACTGCATTTCCTGGGGCTATCGATAACCTCATGGTGGGGGCAGTTACAAGTTTAAGCACGCTCTCCATAACCGTACCAGAATAAAATGGGTGAGACTATGAAAGCTTTGGAGCGTGGCATCAGAAGGCAAGATTACCTTGATAAGCTGGAGAAAGGGCCTTCAGAGTACCGTGTTAATTAATGACGAGTCCAAAGCGCTGTATCTAGGTGGGGGCACAAATACCGACTCGGGAGTGGTGGAGCAGGCGGCCGTTCCGCTGAAAACGCTGCGGGGCTGCAGCGGGTCGCGCGTTGCCGTGAGTTAACGGCGTAGCATC